TGGCGCATCACAGGCGCCGTAGTTTCTGAACGATAAACTTGGACTAATTACCTCGTGAGTATACGTCATTCACAACCAACATCAAACACGGTAAGTATGTTTCATTAAGTATTTAACAAACAAAATGGCTTCTACCGCGATAGTTTTGTGAAATTAAATTAATTGTCTAATTAAAAAAAATAGTTTGGTGCTCTCTGGCATCTTGCTTTGAGCTTGCAAATTGTTCATGTCTTTACGTACCACAGTTAGTTAAAGTTAGTTTTTTCAGTGCTCTCTGGCTCTGTGTCCCTGTTGCTAGGTCTTTAACACTGCAGCTGGATCAGTGAGAAACTTTCCTCCCACACCTTCCACTGGTTGGGATCATAACAGATTCAGTTTCAGACCCATGGTGACTCACTTCTCCACCAGTTTTTTGTCTCTCAGTCATCTCCAAACCTTTCATCGTCCCAACACTTTTACTCAGATCAACTCTCTCTTATCTTGATTTCTGTCACCCTTTAATTCCTCTAGTTTTTCATCCTGTTCTTTGAAATATTTCTGTCCTATTTTTCAGTAGTTTGCAATTGAACTAACCAAGAACTGTCAGAAACAAAAACAAAAAAACAGTTTTTTAGAATCTTTACTGATTAAAGGAATCTTTTCCAATGATTTTAATGTCCTAATAAGACCCAACAGTGTTTGTGGTTCTTGTGCAATAAAATGGTAAGAAACTCACTTGAATTCAAGAACGGGTCAGATTAGTAACAAAATGAAACTCCTTCACCTCTAATGCCATTTCAGTGCTTTCCTGATGTGGACAGTTCTTCTGTAGTCTCTCCAGTATTACTACATCCGCTCCTTTACAGTAAAGTTTCAACCCACCCTCTGGGTCACGTACTACAGAAAAAAAAGAAAGAAAAAAAAAGAAAAGAAAAAACATGTTTTGTTTAGGCAAAATTAGTATTTTATTAGATTCAGAATATCTCTATAATAATAATAATATTATTATTATTATTATTATTAATAATAATAATAATAATAATAATAATAATAATAATAATAATAATAATAATAATAATAATAATAATAATAATTCTGCTCCTACCTAGGACAGACATTCGCCTCCTTTTGCTGGTGAAGTCCAACAGTGCCAGCAGCTGGTACTGGCGAGTGGCACCCAGCTCTGAAACGACAACAAAATCTCTTGTTCTGGAAAGAAACACCCAGCCAAGCTCCCTGGCAGCCCCAACAAGAGTTTCTTCATCTGGTGATGCAGCCTGGTAAACCGGGGATCCTGGGAAAATATGGCCAACACGCAAAGTAAACCAGTAAGCATCGGTCTCTGCAGATCTCAGATAATCTGGGACTGATTTCATAGGGCAGATTATTTGAAATTTTCCACTTATAAACATTTAATAATTCGTTATTTAAAATGTGAGAACTCAATACATCTATCTATCCATTCATCGTCTAAACCTGATTATCCTTGCTGGGTCTCAGGGGAGTTCACCCTGGACAGTCCGTCACAGGACATTACAGAAACACATGACAAGCCACCATACACACGTAACCTAAGGGCAATTTACACAGATCAGTTCACCAAAAACTCCTGGTGTAGGACTGGACCTGCAGCAAATTAATCCATACAAACGGAGAACATGCAACTCCAATCAAAAAGAGCCCAAAAACTGCTTGCTTCAAGCCATCAGTTCTGCATTACACAAGACGTGTCTCATGATATCTAGGACGTAAGTGAGAAGTGACAGGAAGTAAAGTCATGAACCACTAAAGTCACGTAGTTTCTAAAAGAACCCACAGGAAGACAGGTGTTACTTCAAGACTGATGACTAACAGTGTGGGGTTTTTGGAGAATCAGAGTTAGTAAATGTAGAAATGAATCAAAAAGTTCACCTTCCTTCCACTCGGCCATGACGGTGTGACACAGAGCCAGCGCAGACAGAAACTGTGTGGTGACTGGACACCGCTGTCCTCTGAGCGTCTCTACTAGTGTGGGTGAGAACATGCGCAGGCCACCGCTGGAGAACGGGTTCCAGCTCAGATCCATGGGCTGGGAAAAGAAATTGGGAAAACGAGCAAGTAAAAGTTGTTACAGAATACCTTGTGATCAAGTGGATTAAATCTTTGACGTTATTTATTAACGCTGTATAAAAGGACAGATTTCTCAGTGACACTGAATCAGATTAAATCTTCTCAGACCAACAAGATTATTTCTATTTGATAATTCCAGAATAGTAAGATACATTTCTGTAAAAAAAAAAAAAAAAAACTCTTAGTTTGAAGTCAGAATTGTACATACTTTTTCTTAGTATTTGGAAAAACTGCCTTGTAAACTGCACGACTTGGATATTTGCTATTTGTGTCCTTTCACAAGCGTCTCGCAGTAAATTTCCTGAAAGTTTGGTTCATTCCTCCCGGCAGGTCTGACGTAACTGCAGGTGTGTAATCCACGTCGCTCATCCGCATCCTTTCAGCCTACATATTTCAAATTTCAATTTTGCTCAAATCAGAGAGCAGGACGCCTCTAAAAAAACTGTAGAGAGAGGGACCTTTGAGAACTCCTCTCTGGGATAATCTCTATAGATCAGGAGAGTCAAACTCCACTGTTCCTCCAACTTTCACTTATGTTTCTGCTTCAACACACCTGAATCAAATAGTTTGATCAATAGCAGGACTCGGCAGTACTTTGCTGAAAGCTGGGAGATAACTCAGCCATTCGATTTAGGTGTGTTGGACCAGGGAGACATCTAAAAGTTGCGGGACATCAGCCCTCAAGGATTGGAGTTGGACGCCTCTGCTTGATCCTCAGTTTAAATATTGGACTTGCAAAACCTGGATTTTCTTTACTGGCTCATGTGGAGACAAATGCAAAACTTGCTTTTTAGTTTTCCTGCCCAACCAATTGTTTTAGTCAAATGGAGACTGAAACTGTATCTCGGTGTGTTTGGTACCTTTACATCCTCTGCTCTGACTGAGGCGTCACCTGTGGGAGTGGAAAACATTTTCTGTTTACCTAACTATTAAACGGCACATTAAAAATCTTAACTAAATATCTAATATGCTTTTTAAAATGCTGGTTAAAAAGAGAGACAAAATGAAAAGAAAATAGAAAAATGGTCTCTGCCAAGAACTGATAGATACATTTTTGATTTTGACACATAATACAGAATAATCTGCAGCCTGTGAACCCGTACCACAAAGCTCATCGTATTTACCGTAGATTTGTCCGGCGATGCAGCATTGTCTGAGGAGCAGACGGTTCTGGGTCAATGTGCCAGTTTTGTCACTCAGCAGGTAACCTACTTGGCCGAGCTCCTCACTCAGAGAGGTATTCCTGGCTTCTGCAGGTTTGTCTGTCTGTTTCCAGTACATCTCCAAATCCCAGCCAATAAACTTGCTGTGAATTGTGTGTATCACCTCAAACCTGAAGACACACATATAGAGTGAATAACCTCATTAGGAATGGTTTATGTTGGCGCCATGCGGCTCAGTGATGGAGGCGGCACGAGATATGCAGAGGATGCAGTTCCAGCTGTGGCTTACACTCTGTTCTTTTGCCTATAAAGTTTCTAATGAACAAAGACTTTGAAAGCCAAAGAAATCATAGGAAAATAGACAGAAGCATGTAAGTCACAGGGACAAATTTGTTGGCCGAACAACTATCTGGAAAAGTGTTTCTGATATATTTATAAAACCTTTAAGCCTAGATAGAAAAGACAAATAAAATACCTAAAAAGATAATAAATTTGATTTGTTGGTGCCGCTAAGGAGATTATTAATCCATCCGTCAAAGTCATGGTTCAAACTATGAGCTGCCTTCGAGCATTTTTATTTGCCAACCAGGCTACTTAAAGGAAACAAACAGTCAGGCAGATTGGGATTGTTGTGTGTAGAATATGCAAGCAAAGGTAGTTAGAAAAAGAGGCAAAGGAACCATCCAATACATCTCCAAGTCATTTCTGATCACACTCTTTGTCACATTGTAACCATAATGGCCACCAAGAGAAAAATGTCGAGAAGAGCTTCACTACAGAAAGAAAAACACAAAGAGGCCAGAGTGAATGTAGAAAGGCTTTAAAAATGTATGAAGAAAATCTTTTAGATTGAAAAGACAACCTTTCAAACCATTCATGGACAGCTTTTACAGTTGTTTTTTTCTTTTGTACAGTGTTTTAGGATTAGGGCGACTGACTCTCTTCTCAGAATTTTTACTTTTGATCTCAAGAGATTCAAGTTTAAAGATCTTGATTTGTTGGTGAAGTTTAGAGATGAAAGTCAAAATTCTGAAATTAGAGTCGGATTTTTCTTTCCAATGGACCTAATTCTCTTCCTTAATAGTCTTTGTTTACCCCAGGAAAATATATTAAAAACTACACATATTTTATTTTGACTGTATTTCATCCAAGCTGATTGTTTCTGGTAAAAAAAAAAACAAAACAAAAAAAAAAACAACAACAACAAAAAAAACCTGAATGTTAGTGGGTTGCTAAAACCATCAGATTAAATATCATTATTCTTCTCTATGCATTGATGCTTACAAAACTGGCAATCTACTAAATATTCCAGTGATCCAAATCATGTCACTAACGTGATGTAGAGCGCAATGGGCATGGCCGGGCTGAGAAGGATTATGTAACTCCAGTAGACGAGGAATCCATTGTAAGCTGGGTTGCCGTCGACCACCAGAGCAGACAGGAACGATGTTTGGGTCATGACCTGATATGAAGACACACCTGCACCGATGGCAAGGAGCAGAGCAGCCAGCAGAACCGACAGGACAATCTAGTGAACCAGAATAAAGACAAACAACATTTATAAGAACTCCACAAGTCGCTACTTGCTTGTCTTCCCCCTGTCGTTCACGAACTCACCCCGATTACCACTTTGTTGAAAACTTCCTCCAGCTGAGTTCTTTTTGCTCTCAGTTTCCCGCAGTTTCTCAGGATTTTTGTGTCTGCGCCTGTCGTGGAAAACAAACAAACAAAGAAAAAAAAAAACAAAAAAAAAAACAAAAGAACAACCGTCATCTGCCACCTCTGCAGCACGATTCAGAAGACCACTCTGCAGTCACAGGGTTAGAGTTCAGGGCCTTGCGCCAGCGAGTCTCTGCTCATGTACCCTTGAGCAACATGCTGAATCCCCTTAGCCCTCCGGGGACGTGTAACCCCAACGCGAAGGTCGAGTGAAGAGAGAAGTTATCTCATGCAGATCAATAAGGTATAGCATTATGCTCTCCAGAGATGTTCTCTCAGACTCAACTCAACTGTTTAAAGACACTGAAATTCATTTGAAAAACTGATACGACCGTTCAAGGCCAGAATACTTGTTGTAACTAATATTACACGGCATTAGATTTCTGATCAGGTTAAACTGAGGTCACACCAATAGGCAGTTTTTGGTTGCTGGTATAATGGCCATCTTTTAAAGAAATGTGACTGATCCCATTAACTGCATTGAATTGGCGTCACGCAGCAGCTCTGCTTGGCCAAGCAATACCTGATCAATGCTCACTTAGAGGACAGGGGAAGAGTGTAATCTCCCAGATTTTAGCATTCATATTTTAAAGACAGAGCTGCAAGGGTTAAGCATTTAGTGTCATAATTAGAAGCACACTCTGTTCTGTGAAGTAAAATTATTAATTGAAGTAAGCATAAAAAGCACAGTACCAGCTAATCTGAAAGAAACTGATCAGTTTGACAGCAGCTGAAGTCTGTTTCATAAATAAATTCCCCACCCAGTTTATTTGCCATAAAATTGTCAAATTTCCTGACTTGTAGAAGGTTTTGTACCCAAAAACCTTCTACAAGTCAGCAGCAATATTAATAAATCTAGGTCTTTAAAGCTGCAGCATGTAACGTTTATTTTTTTAAAAATGTGTTTTACATTTTTGTTAAAGTATGAGACAGATAATCTGAAAAAATAAAAATAAAAAATCGAGCCTGTCTGCTTTCTCCCTGAGCTCCCAGTACTAAATGCAGAAATACGCTACTCAGTCAGAAATAACCAGTCAGAGTCAGGAGGAGGGTCTTAGCGATGTCAGTCGTGCTCATGCTCAACCCCTCTTCCTTGGTTTTTGCTAAACTACAACTGGTTCACTACAACATAGCTTGGCACAAATGCTAAGGCTAGTTAGCACAGCTACAGATAGTGGTGGATAAACTGTTTTCCTGGAAAGTCTAAGTTGCTTCTCCATTATTAGCACCTTAAGCAGCAGTGAACGACAGCACTAAGACACTCCCCCTGGTTTTGATTGGTTGTTTTTGATGGAGGGTTGTGCATTTCTTCAGTAGCTTAGGGAGGAAGTGGGGGAGCTCGATCCTTTCACAGGTTACCTGTCTCATATCAGACTGTCACGACATCATGACGGTTTTAACAAATATGGAAAAAAAAACATATTTTTGTTTAAGTTACATATTGCAGCAAAGTCACACTCGTGCACCCAGTTCTGCTTTTAAAAATCATTGAAGATGTTTGTGTGACCATCACTTCACCTTGAAAAGACAGGAGAGGCTCAAGTGTGTCTTTAAAGACCCACATTTAATATGACATTCATTCCAAGGTGAGTGAATGTGCACCTTTACCAACACCTTATCTGTTCTTTTAGACTTAATGCTGAACTCTACCGGTGTATATCGTCAGGCCGTAGGCAAAGTCTGTGTTGCGTAGGACTGTTCCCCTAAGGAGGACATGTTCGTTTTCCAGGAGGAAGCACTCTCCTTGCCATTGTAGTTGACCTCTGAAAGTGTACAGGCGATTGTTGGGTTCCTCGCAGAGCACAACGCCTATAGGATTAAATGTTCACCGATTAAATTGCGCTCTTCTTTCAAAAGAGAACAACTTGGACATTTAGCCAGAAGAGAGGACATTTATTTACCATTAAAGGCTCCAAGGGCCTCCTCTGAAGGGTGAGAGGTCAGCTCATTATGTGTTGCGCCCAGCGCCTGACGGTATTTAAGGTTGGTCTCGCTTCAAGAAGAAACAGATAGTTATTTAAAAATTAAATCAGGCAGTCTTTTAAACAGTACAGGGGATTTGTTTGTTAAATCTGCATGTTTCAACCTTATGAGATAAAATAGCCGGACTTTTGCATCACTGAAAGTGAAGAGGCTTGTAAGGTGAGTAAAATAAATTTCCAAAGCTCATTGTGAAAACAATTTTCCAGCGAGATTATACTTTTCCAATAAAATCTACATTTATTTAAACACTTTCCAACGTCATTAGTGGGAGTGCCAAAATTTGGAAGTGCTGTCTATCTATTATTCTTTCGCTTGTTTCTCACTTGCAAACATTTATGTTATGCTTTTCATTAGTCTTGATTTGTGTGTACCGAGTATCACATGTGCTGCTGTGAAAAACTGTTATTTCATTTACTCGAAAAAACACACTTTAACTATAAGCATTTTAGTATGTGGTTTGAAAAGTTGATGTAGAAAGTCAGAAAATTTTTTCACAGTCACTCGGCAGCTTTAGCAAACAGACTTATTGGTTTTTCTACGTTTTGTTACCCGTCAATATCAGCAGTCTCCACATAACACAAGCTATGAGGCTCAGAACTGGAGAGCAGAAGAAGATCAGCCTGGGAGGAAAGATAGAAATGTATATATTTTTATTAAAGCAAACAGAAGTGTTTGGTAGTAGAAAACTCTGAATATAACTTGAAATGCAGTTGCATAAAATTACCACACTTGCACGCTTTTTGTTCTATTCTGTCTTCAAAAGCAAATGAAATGATTTTTGAATAAAAAAAAAGCATTTCAGTTATTTTTTATTAATTCATTCACTCACAGGAATGATTTGGTCTCTGCGGATCCTCAACAGATCTCCAACACACACATCTTTCCACTGGGCTGTCATGAAACTGTAAGAAAAATAAAAAAAATAAATACAGTCTGTATTTAACGCTCTCTCTCTCTCTCTCTCTCTCTCTCTCTATATATATATATATATATATATATATATATATATATATATATATATATATATATATAGTGGATTATATATTCTACAAGTTAAATTTTATATACATTTGTCTTTTGCGCACATGTGTGTAATTTGATGGATGTGTGGTGGATGGATGTCCAAAC